TCATTTCTCCCTGAACCTGAGTGAGGTATTGATCCAGCCCCTCATAAAGGAATCTTAGGGAGTAATGATCAATGATATGTTATAGAAGAGTATATCTGTGGCTCAGGATTGAACTGTGAGGTCCTTGAAGCTCTCTGAGTTTGGTAGTTTTCTTGCAGACATTTCATTACCAAACTAGGTAACATCATCATTGCTAGAAGGGAGTGGGGTTACTATATACTAATAGCTTTCTCTGTCAGTGTTTTCTCCTATGTCAGTGTCTCCTATCTTTAAAAGACCATAAAAACACTATCACTTATTATGTTGCCAAATTCTGCTTCACTGCTACAAGACTGAGGCAACAAATATTGTCCAACACAATTGCATTTCTTCAATGTATTTAAAATTCTTTCCTTTCTTTCTTCCTCCCTTTCCTCCTCTTTAATTCATAAAACTTACTTTAGTTGCCATTTTAATGGACTGTGTGTATTTCACATATATGTTGGTCAAAGATTGTAATAAAGATTTAGCTACTTATCCTTCCCAATTGCTGTGACACAAGAATAAAAGCCATTTTGACGAAAAGGCAGAGGGGAGAATTCCCCCACACTTGTATTGTGCTTTAAAGATATTTGCAGGGGTAACATTAGGAATGGCTGAATTTTCTTGCATATTTTGAAAACTATGGGTTTAGTCATAGATATATGATTGGGATATTAAATGTGGCAATAAGGATTCTGGCATTTTTGTTCTTATTCCATATAGCTATTTTTTCCTGGATATTATGAAAATGATGGCTATTTAATATAGAGCACATACATTATCATTTCTCATTGGTATTGAGCGCAATTAAACACCAAATTGTCACTTTCATAAAGACCTGGAAGATCAAAAGCAAAACCAAGCAAAATCCATACACAGTGGACATGTTTAATGGGGAAAGTGTGTTATGCAAATACTGCCACTCTATTAACACTGAAGCGGAAGAGGACAGTTTTTAATTCCAGAAATCTATCCATTCATTTGTTAAACTGCTTTCATCTGATCAGTTGTGTTGTATGAAGACCATAAACCAAAACAAGGACAATTGAAAAGCTGCATTTACTTAAGCAGTCCTCCAAAAAGAAGCAATGGAGAGGAAAAACCACTGGAAATACAAGAATGTTCTTGCAGAATTCGGGTCCAGCAAATAGTGAAACTTTCCCAGAGTTCTCTTGACCCAAGAGCTCATTGAATTCAAGGAATTTAAATGATGGTTTCAGATCCAGCAAGAGTGATGCATGCTGGCAGAGCCACTAGTAAGTTGACAGTCTGGTGGCTTACAACTCCTCCTCCTCCTCCTCCCATCTTAAAATCTTCCAAGTTCTATTAACACTGGACAATGATAGACTCCTATCTTTAGAAGAAGATGATTCTTGGGAGAAGTTTCATATGCTCTTACAATCTAAAATTCTTTGTTAGAGGAGATTTACTGAAGTATTTCATAAATTATAGTTATATTCTTGAAAAACAGATCTTGATCTTTACAAAAGCAAGAGAATCTCGAAGAGAAAAATGCTGATTAAGAGAAACTGAAGAAAGAATGAGAGAAAGAATGAAAGAATGGGCATTTCCATGGGACAGTTTTAAAAGTTGAGGCTAATGCTGTCTTTTTCACTAAAAGCTGCATGTGATTACTACTTGTAAATTTAGGAATAGTGCACATTCTTGGTATATCAGCCATTGAGGATATAGCAGAAAATGTACCTAATAGCGTATGTTAGGCAGCTTATTTACATTTGTGGATTTGAATCCCCCATCCTTTTCTTTTTTCTTTTGCTTAAATAATCATCATTATTGGGTGGCATAAGGAATGATATTTGGACAAGAAATATTAGCCTATTATGAAGAACTAGTTGAGAAGCAACTATCTTAGTTAGATTACCAGATTGAATCCATGTTTTTTTAATAAGCAGAGGTCAGCTTTCTAGATTTACCAGACTTGGATACTGAAGTGATGAATGCTAAAACTGCTTTTATTACAGGGTTATAGTTCAAGAAACTTGAAAAACTGAACATGTTTCCTTCCTGCCTGCCTTTATCCTAACCAGAATTAGCAATATCAAGTCTGAGATGTTCTTTCACATTACAGTTTTGCTTTGACTAAGATTTCTCTTATCAGATTTCTCTTGTCTTGTTTGAGACTCTTCCTCCTGTTCTTCAAGGTTATTCTCATAGCCCATGACTGATTTATGGGGCTATCACAAGCCAAAGATGATATAGCTCTTTGGAAGATTCTTTTCATATTTAGACACAGATAAGAAAGAGACTGACAAAAATAAGTAGGTATTTAGGAAATGTGTATTTCCTGCAAGCTTTGCAAGTGGTGCTGATGTTTGCTGTAAGGATAATCGTAGACATGGAACAGATTCAAATTCTGAATGCTGTACAACTATAAAGAAATATAGAAAAAGGAACTGAAGATATCTTAGACATTATTAAACAAGATACCTCAAATGTATACATGTGAAGTTACTGAGTTACAAGTGATCAAGGAATTCAATATGTTTCTGGGGCAAGCATGGACAAAGGTGTATTGCTATTTTTCAGTTATTATTGATCCTACTAATGCAAAAGTATCTGAGGTATCACACAACAGCTCTGGGAGAAAGGGGATTAGACACAGCCCATTTATTTATTTAATAAATTGATATGGCTGACCATCTCATATACATGATTGTGGTGGCTAATAATTACAAAAAATAAAAAATAAAGATTAAAACAAAACAAAACAATAAAAACATAAATAACATAAACTGGCAGCTGAAAACAATCACAACATCCTACTATCAACATCAGAAGTGATATTCAGCAGGTTCTGACCAGTTCTGGAGAATCGGTAGCAGAAATTTTGAGTAGTTCAGAGAACCGGCAAATGCCACCTCTGACTGGAGATTTTACAGTATCCTTCCACTGCCATGCCCACTAAGCCACACCCACAGAACTGGTAGTACAAAAATTTGAATCCCACTATTGTATCAACATATCCAAGAAATGCTCTCATCCACACTACCAGGGCCCAAGGCTTGATGGCAGAGACTAGTTTTCAAGGCTTTGTGAAGATCCAGCAATGACATGGCTGGTCTGATTTTTTTGGATGGGGAGAGAGGTTCCAAAGAGAGGTCTCCAGGGCAGAAAAGGCCCTTTTTCTACATCCCGGCAGATGCAAAATCAAAACACCTTTATTTGTGGATGTTGGGGCTGCACACCTGACCAGCCACAGATTGCACACCACCACATCTGCTTAGTTACTAAAATGGACCTCAGTTATATACAAGGGAAAGGAAGACAAGGACAGGAGGATAAACCGAACCAAATTAGACAGAGGGCATCACAAGAAATGGAGAACTGGAAATTGGAAAGAGTTCATGAAAGAAAACATAATGACCAGTGGATTCAGGTGTTCAATTACAGTTCATTGTCATTGTTTTGTGGCTTTACAGATTCATTTGATATTACATGTGGAAGAAATGCCATTTTTCATTTGCAGGTATTGTTGTTGACATGGATCTATTAGGAAATCACAATTTTAAGTCAAGCGTGAGAGAAATAAAACCTTACATAAGATACATATACACTCAACACTCCAACAAACGTAATTATTTTTGAAACTGTCAACCTACAGGAATATGTGAGCATCATTTGCCTTGTTCTGTTTATTTTCACAGGTGGTTTATTCACCTGCTTTCCTGGAGTCACTTGCAATATTTTAAGAAGATTCTTTGTTCCAATAGAATGAAACCAAAAGTATTCCCCCTGGCTCTTTAACAAAAATTACATGGACAAAATATTATTACATAGTGATGAAGTATTAGCTAAAATTAAAGTAATTTGCAGCTTCTAAAGCATAGGAAATATTTTGAAGTCAAATATTATCTAGATACAAATGCATTTTCACTGGTAATGTATTGCATGGATTTCCCCCACAAACTCAGAAAGACACAAACTATTCAAAGTACAGAACTTTAAAGTGGCAATAATCCTGTCGTAGTTGGGAAAGCAGGAGTAGCTGTACATCTTCCCTTCTGAGATTGGAGAAAAATTTCAAACCCAGAGAGGATGAAATTACCTCAGAAACCTACTCCTAAGGGTGGTGGAAACTTTGATAAGTTCTACTACTATGAAAGCAGAGTTTTGCTGCGGGAGGGAAGGAACAAGTGACAATGTTGGAATTACTTTAGACCAGGGCTGTCAAACTCGTGGCCTGTGGGCCGGCTGTGTCATGCGCTGGCCACACTCATGCCTAGTTTAGCGAAGGGGGAAAAAAGTCATGATACATAACGTGATGATGTTGTGATGACATGAGTTTTACACCCCTGCTTTAGATTATCTTGAAGTGATAGTTCAAGGGAAGAATTAAGCACATGCTTAAATCTATTTTAAAGAAATCAATTAAATTTAAAATATTTAACGTCAGCAAGACTGAACTTCTCTCGGACTGTTATCAATTCTAAAGAATGAATAGTTTTGTAGCATTGGGAAACCAATGGGCCAATTTATCTGAAGGGTATAGCTAAAGCAAGATCTTGCTCAAATGGAAAGTAGTTCATATTTACATGGTAACCAATGCAACAATAGAAAATATTGCCGTAGCCTCCTAGTCCATGAAATCTTGCTTCCTATAGAGAACAGGAATATGAGATAGCTGGTGCATATAAAGTTGTTGTTACATCAGTGACATCACTAAATCTGATGCTTGTCATCCTGCAATAGATTTGCATATTAATCGGCATTTTTGCCGTTGCTTTTGAAAACTGACCCTACTCCTGTGATTAATGTCATTGCAAACCTCTGAACAAAACGGATTTGTCTGGTTTTGTGACCTCAATTCCACAAGTTACATGTTACTTCAGAATGACATAAATCAGTTTAGCCTGCCCTCTGGGAAAGCAGGAAGAGAGAACGTACAAGTAATTTTGGATTGTCACTGAATGATTGCTTTTCTGATTTCACACATTTACCAAAAATAGATCAAGCCTTACCATAGCTGTCATAGGCATCTTCACTTGTTCCATGACCATAGTCATAATATTCAGGCAGACTGCAATAGATTTAGACAGCGAGTAAAAAGTTATTGCAAAAGGAAAATGGCTCAATTGAAACAAAACATTAACTAAACTTGTTATTTTTCTCCCTCACTCCTTTTATAAAAGCTACGATGGCGAATCATTAACTATATTCTGAGAGAGAAAACTGAATTTTAAAAAAATAAGTGAACACAAAACACAGCCTGTTCCATTGTCCCTCTTTGTCTCTTAAATAAAAACAAATCTTATAGCAATGATGCTTTGAAGATTTCAAGGGAAACATGTGGAGTATTCATTCTGTACCTTCACTTTCAGTTTGCCAGGACATTATTTATGTAATCAGTTTTTTTTTTCTCATTCTCCATTACCCTGAACTAAAAAAATCAATTGCAGATTTGAACAACTCAGTTACAATATCTAGAGGTGTGCATCTTTCTGGTGTAAAATGTGACCTTGAAGATCTTGGAACATTTACATGCTACAAGTGATTTTTTTTTCAGGCACCATGGGGAAAAAGTCACATTAGATTCCAAGCTGTAAAAGACTGGAAGGATTTAAAATTCATTGCCATCATCATCCTATAACTTCCTAATAAATTTTTCCCAATAAAAATTGTAGAAGAAATCTGAGCACCACGACATGGCAAATGTGTTAGCAGCACAAAGGACAATTTGGGAATACAAATCTTACATTTTAATAATGTTGGAAAGATTGTAAGCATCACTAAAGAGAATCAAAAATAGCAGAAAAAACAGTTTTCACAGTAGGATCCCTTATCTCTAGTAAGAGTAATATGCCATCATTCTTCCTTTCTGTTATGTAGTATTCATGAATTTGTGAGGCCTGCCTTTTACACAAGGTCATGTTAGTAACAGAAACTATCATAAGCAAAATTTAATGTTCATTACATTAGATTGTATTTTGTTTTCTGAAACAAATGCCTAATCTATCTGGCTTTATTTGTATGCAAAGCTTCCTGAATCACTATTATTTATTGAGTAATTACAATTAAAATAAAATGCTACAATTGTAATTGTATAGTATTTTGAGTCTTGTTGCTATTCTTTGCTTTGATTGGGAAAACAGATATTGTTGTCCATACATATACACTGCAAATGTTTTGTGTTCTGAAAAAAAACCCAGTCTGATTAACATATCTCAGCAAGATAGCACAACTCAGTAAATCATAACATGTAACTTTTCATAACTACTCATAGGGATTTCTTTATAGAAACACCACGAAATCATAATCACTTTTTATGTAGTTGATAATAGGTTAACTCAAGTTATACATGTTGAACTACGTACATACTAGAAGAAATGGCTTGAAAGGGTGACTCTGTTTTAGATTAGATTTAGAATTATTTTAAAACCAGTGGCCCCCATCATTAACCTGATGGAAAATACGTGGCTCTAGTATACGATTCAAATCCCAACATGGATTTAAATTACCTTTAACTTTTATTAATGTGTGTGAGAAAAATGCTAGCAATATCAGAGTCAGTTTGGTGTAACAGTGAAGGTGCTGGCGTAGAAACCAGGTGACAATGACTTCTAGGCCTTCCTTAGGCAATGAAACCAGCTGTGTGACTATGGGTTAGTCGTTCTCTCTCAGCACAATCTACCTCACAAGATGGTTGTTGTGGGGAAAATAGGAGGCAGGAGAATTAGGTATGGTAGTTACCTTGAGATGACCAGATATTGAAAAAGGCAGGATAAAAATCCAATAACAAAAACATACAAAAAATTGATAGTACAACTGCATTCTTTTAATGTTTTCCAGTCAATGTTATCTCCTGATGAGTGTCTGGACTAGTCCATCCAGTTTTCTTGGCAAGGTTCTTCAGAAGTAGTTTGCCATTGCCTCCTTCCTGGGGCTGCGAGACAGTGACTGGTCCAAAGTCAAACAGTTGACTTTGTATCTAATGCAAAACTAGAATTCACAGTCTCCTAGTTTCTGGTTCTTAATCATTATGCCTTAGTGATATCTGTTATTTTCTTTCTAGTTGCATTTATTATTTTATACTTTCAAGATATGTATGGATTGTTTGATTTCAGAAAAACACTGACTTCCATTTTTTCCCCTAATTGTCATATGGAAGACTGTGACTTGGAATGTAAGAATAGTACATTATAAGAGCTTGAATTACACATTAAATGACTGAATATATAAGAAATTGAATAGTATTGTTAGATGTGAAAGACCAGGACCACATGTGAAGTTCTGATTAAACTCATTTATTATTACTTATACTTATGCATAGGAATCTACTCAATTAATGGTTGGCTCCATTTTGACATTAGATAAGGGTCAACAGAATTCAAAAGGGGTTAACATAGTCTGCTTATGGCTATTTAGAGACTCTAGGCTGATTCCCCTTTTGACTCTGCCCCCAGTTCTGCCACCCTGTCTCCTACCGGTATGGATTTAATTAGAAGGAAGGATTAAATATATTCCAGAAGGTGTAAATTGGAGTCAAGATTGTTGGGAGTTTGCGGTAGAATAGCTATTCATAGCTGGTGATTGTTACATGTTAAGCTCCAGTGAACAGTATTAATGAAAGAACTGAAGATGAATTTTTGAGAAAAAAAAGGGAGAACATTTTAAATAAATATGATCTGGGGACAAAAGTTATTCTGCTTGGTGACAGGAAGGGATGGATGATGATAAGACAAGAGAGAACAAAAATATGACTGATCATTTGGAGACACAAGAATAAATAAGAATGGTGAATGTTAAGTCAGTATCTAATTAGAAAAGGTGATATTTTTTTTTAAAGTAAGAATGGTGACTGTTTAGTGAATATCTACTTAGAAAAAGAGTTTTTTAAATACATGGTCTAAGCATAAATCTATTCATTGATACACATAATTGACTTGATATTTATGATAAAAGATTGAAAGATTCAATAAATGGCACCGGGATGATGAGAGGTTGTGAATATGGAATACAACTTTTGGATTTTTGTCAAGTGTGGGCACTGAAAAAATGGGTATGAAAGAAAAAGGAATAAAAGAAAGAAATGAGACAGAATGTAGAACAACTGCAAAAGAAAACATGCATTTTCCATGAAATGAAAACATTTAGGAATATGGAAATGACAGGAGCAAAAACAGAAAAGTGTAGAGACACAAAGTGAATGGTGTTGGTGTAAGTTGGATTTTGTTAGGTTTCCTTTTCTTTTTCCTTCTTTTTCATGGTTCCCTCTTTCATTTCTTTGTTCCAACCCTGGAGGCATTTAAGAGGAGACAGGACAGCCATTTGTTTAAAATGGGCTAAGGTCTCCCACTTGAGCAGAGAGTTAGAAAGCTAGAAGGATAGGGCTATAAGACCTCCAAGGTCCCTTCCAACTCTGTTATTCTGTTATTTTGTTTACCCCATCTTACTCTTTTTCTGAGGCTCACATAGATTGCATAGCCAAGATGTGAACAGCATAAAGAATATATATGAACATACCGTATGTCAAATTTTTATTAAAATATGTCATCTGAAAGAAAGGTTTTGCACAATAATTATGTATGATGGTACTAATCTCCTTGGCTAACCTTTGTTGAGGAGTCTCATTTTAACAAAAACGATGGTGGATTGTCTTATTAATTTCTGTTTGAAGAGCATGATTAATTCATATTGTCACAGCAGTGGTGGTATTCGACCGGTTCTGCCTGGTTCTGGAGAGCTGGTAGGAGCAATGAGCAGCAGAGACCGAACCAGTTCTCTTCGCTGCTCTAATGGCTCTGCTGTTGGGCCCACCCGCCTGCCCGGGCTCCCATACTCACCTTTATCCACTGAATTTAAAGCGCAGCTGCTTTGTGCGGCACAGAATAGTGCCTCGTGTCAGCTGCTGAAGTGACCGGGATTGTGCAGGCTTGCAGGAGGCAAGTTAGAATGCCTCTGCACCTGCACAAACGTCTTTGTGCATGCACAAAGTGCACATTTGGCGCGCATGTGCATGCAAAGTGTGTGCACACATGCAAAATGTACCCACCAAGCCACGCCCACCGAACTGGTGGCAACAATATTTGAATTCCACCACTGATGTGGACCCCGTGTATTAATGAATAAATGTAGCCCATGATTTCTACTCTGTCAAAGCAATGCAGGCGTAAATGATCTTTCACTCACCAATGGATAACCATAACCAAGCCTTTAGAATTATAAACTAGAGCTGTGTAACATTCAGATTCAATAGATAGACACTTCAGAGTAAAAATTACAGACAACTGCTGTGTTTGTATCTCTGCACACTGCCAAGCACTTTTCTCTGGACACGTGTCCAAAGAATTTTAGAAAGATGCCAATATAATCCCTTTATATTAATCAATGCTGCATCTGGAACATTGTGTGAAGTTTCGGCCACCACACCTAAAAACGGATATAGTTAGAATGAATTAGAGGAGATTAAGAGCAGGGCAACAGATGATGTTGAAACAGTTTCTTTCTGAAGAAAGTTGATTGCAATGGGGGCTTATTTTAGTTAAGAAAAACTGAATTAAATGTCTTCCTTCATTCACCTCCTTTCTAAACCAGGAATCTCCAAACTTGGCAACTTTAAGACTTATGGATTTTAACTCTCAGAATTCCTCAGTCAGCCAAGCTATTAAAATTGCCAAGCTTGGAGTTCCCTGGTTTAGAAATGAGGTGAATGAGGAGGGGACATGTTTGAGACATACAAAATTATTCTTGGTATGGATAAAGTGCACACGGAAGTTATTTTCTCCTTCCTAGACTACAAGAAATACAAGTCACTCTGTGAAACTGATACTGAGACAAAAAACACAAACAAAAGGAAATATGGCTTGGAATTCCCTGCCATGAGTTGTGGTGGTGGCTACCAGTTTGGATGGCTTCAAAAAAGGGCTGGATCAATTCATGAACACCATGGGAATCAACGTCTGGATGGCAGTGTGACTACCTTTGAAGGTCATCTGTTGGGAGATTTGTAGATGTCCTTGTGTTGGTTGGTTGACCACTATGAGACAAACTGCTGGACTGGATAGCCAGGGATGTAATCCA